TGAGAGAGAGAGAGAGGGAGAGAGAGAACATGAGCAGGGGAGGGGCAGAGAGAGAGGGAGACACAGAATCCCAAGCAGGCTCCAGGCTCCAAGCTGTCAGCACAGAGCCTGACGCGGGGCTCGAACCCATGAACCTCGAGATCATGACCTGAGCTGAGGTCTGACGCTTAACCGACGGAGCCCCCCAGGCGGCCCGATCCTTAATCTTAATCACATCTGCAGAGTCCCTTTTTGTAAGGTCACACACTCACAGGTTCCGGGAATCAGGACATGGACATCTTGGGGGCATTATTCTGCACCCCCACACTGTCTCATAGGGGTGAGAGAGCAGATGTGGAAATGCCATTACGGCAGCTTTGAGGGTGACTGACTGCTGGTGGTCTGGCTGTGTCATTGCCCGCTCGTGAGTGGTCTGCCAGGACCGGTCCCAGCCCAACCCCTCCGGCATCAGGGAGACAACTCGCTCCCAGCTGTGCTCCGTAAAGAGTGCTGTGTGACTCTAGCCGTTCTGCTTCCCTCTCTGGTTTTCCGATCCTCTTGTATAAAGTCAGATGAACCGTGTTTGTGCCCATTCTTGGTTCAACGGCGCACCTGTAACACATGGAGTCACACACGCTCACAACCCCCTTTGAGGCGAGTACTGTCTTACCTCAATCTTGGAAACGAGGGAACTAAGGCAGAGGATCTGAAACGACTGGCCCGAAGTCGCAAAGCAAGTGCATCACTGAACGGTCTGTCTCCAGAGTCCCAGCCCCAACTGAGCTCTGCTCCTCGGTGTGGCTCCAGGAAGCCTAGAGGGTCACGTGCAGCTCCAGGAAGCCTGGAGGGCCACACCGAGCCACAAGGACAGAGCCTGCTTGCAGACTGCCCTATTCCGTTCCGGCTTAAGACCATGTACAAGTGATAATAACGTCTGACATCACATCCACGTGTGTTCCGAAGTCCCTGTGTGCCAAGTAGTTTTAAGTGCTAAACGTGAATACGCCATAAACGTGCACACGTGTGCGTATGCACCGTACCTGGCACACAGCAAACACGCGACACATGACAGACGCACACACACGTGAGCTCACGCGAGGTCACAGTAACCCCGGAGGCGGGTGACGTTATCGCTCCCACCCCGTGGACGAGACCACCAGGGCAGAAGTGGCGGCGACCCGTCCGAGGCCACAGAGGGGCACAGCGCCCCGCTCGGTCAGGGGTCTGCGCTCAAAGCACTAACAAGATTAGAGGGAGGTTCCTGCTCGCGGGCTCCCGGGGGGCGGCGTGGGGAGCAGAGTGGGAAGTGAGGCCGAGGAGGGGCCGGGCCCGGCCAGAGGCGAAGGGCTCAGGAGTGGGCCCCTGCGGTACAGGGCGGCTGCCGCGTGGGTGGGGAGAGGCGCCAGGGTGGGACGGGGACATGGGGGCTGGGGCGCGGGGAGCTCTGGGCCTCCTTTCCCGGCTGAGCAGTGCTCTTTCTCCCTCAGCGAACTCGGACTCCGTGTTAGGGCTCCTCCGGACCCACCTGCCCTCCCACGGCCAGGCCGCCAGCCACCGGCCTTCCGACCCCCCGGGCTCGTCTGTCATCTACTCCCAGGTGAAGGTGGCATGCCCCTCGGCCTACGTGGCTCCTCAAAGCTGAGTCCACACACACGCCCTGCGTCCCAAGCCATCCTGGGGGCAAGGACATCGGCACGGGGTGACTTGAACGGGTCCAGGCCCTGCCCCTGGCCTCTGCCCTCGGTGTGACCGGAGCACGGGACTACGGGACGCTGCCGTTTCCCAAGTGACAGCCCGTGCGCCTCGCGGTCTCTCTGGTGACGCGTTGCTCCCCCCTGGGGCCATCCCGTCCCCTGGCTTCCTTAGCGGGCTTCAGCCACGGTCCCTGTTCTGGGTCCCACTCCCGTGCACACGCCAGCCACTCCTAGTGGAGCCTGCTCCTGGACTTCGAGGAGGCCACCTGCCCCCTTCCTGTGGACACCCGTCACCTGTAGAGACCTCCACCATAGACACCTGCTCCCCCTGGACACCCGCCCCCTCCCCCGGACACCTGCTCCCCTGCAGCTCCTTTCTTCAGTGCTCTTCCGTCTGGTGGGGCCACCATGGGACTCTACCAAGTGGGGACGGGCGCAGCTGGCTGTGGACCTCCACACCATGGGGCTGCATTTCATGCCCCCCATCTGCCTGGGACGTTAAGGCCAGCCCCTGACAGCAGGAGAGCTTCTCCCCTGCATGCGGACCCACACCCCTGCCAGTGGGCTCACATCCCCTTCCCGTGAGCCCTCCGGTGTGGGTGCAGGAACGCGTCTCACCTGCACAGAGCTCCTGTCCGGAGGCTCGCCCTGATCCCCATGAGGAGACCTGCACATTCCGACAGAGGCACCTCAGAGCATCGGGGGGACGGAGGAGGCCCGACAGGTGGGAACCTCGACCGGGTTCTGGGTCAAGAAAACGCCGCAGGAGAAACTTCGGAGGCAGTTAGGGAAAACTGAATATGAACTATATATTACTGATACTATTGAATCAATAACCTGGCATTACTTTAAGAATATTTGAAAATATCTGAAATGCCTTGAAGTGATTCAGTAAACATTTTTTCATGTGCATGTTAGCGTCTGTGTTAGCGTGTGTCTGTCTTAGTGTGCATTTGTGTGTGCGTGTGTGTGTACGGAGAGAGCACAAACGTGGCAAAAACCCGAACTGGTGAATGCAGAGAAGGGCATACGGCATCGGTTGTATCATTCTGTTAACTTTTCTGAGATTTCATTTTTTTAACTAAAACATTGAGGGTGGAGCCCGGAGCGCGTCGGACCCCGGGTGTCGGTTGAGGGGCGCCGCCCGGGCCGGCACCCCTCCCGCCACCACGGGCTCAGGAGGGAGCCCAGCAAGACCTGGAGGAGGCGGGCCGGGGATTTTGCAGTGAAAACATTTCCCTTCCCCGTCGCTCCTCCCTGAGGCTTTCCTGGTGGAACAGTCGGCTCCCACCATGGGAGCACCTGCCGCGGGCATTGGAGGGGCGGGGCTCGCGTGGGGGGGGGGGCGGCGCCCTGGCGGGGTCTGGGGCTCGCGTGGCAGGGAATTCAGACGAAGTGACTTGCGGGGGGGAGCGGGGCAGAGAGGGGCTCTCGGCTTCGGGTGCCGAGGGACCTGGAGTGGCCTCTGACACGTTTGCCCTTCTGACCCGCTTTGGAGCTGGAGTGTCGAGGGACAAAACCCCAGTGCCCGGGAGCTCCCGGGAGGAGGCCGCACAGAGGTCGAACGTGGGGTCTGGGGGAGCACCCTGCCGCGGTGGGGTCGGCACCGATGCTCCTTCGGCCCGCCTCACCCCTGACCGGCTGCGGGCCTCAAGGGTGAGCACGACGGGCCCAACAAGAAGCTAGGGAAACCCTGGAATTTTCCCCGAGCCCCCCTCAGGCTTCCCCAGTTAGCGGGTGACGATACATCTTTACCGGGGCCTCGTGCACGGCCTGGGGATCTGTTCCCTTCCTCCTTCCCCCCGCCCAGTCGGATCCCGGGTCTGCTCTGGAGGCGGAGGCTGTGCCTGGGGCGGGCTGCCGCAGGTTCCAGCCCGGAGAACAGGCGGCCGGCCGGCCCGCTGGGCTCTGTCGCCTCAGCTTTCCTAGTTGTTTCTCCAGAGAAACAGAACCAGAGGGAGATGCAGAGACATAGGTGTTCATTTGCTGTCAGGAACTGGCTCGTGGGGCTATGGGGGCTGACAAGTCCCGAGATTGGCAGTTGGCAAACTGAGCACTCACAGCTGGTATGGTTTCAGGCCAAAGGCCAGCGGGTTCGAGAGCCCGGAGAAGCCGACATTTCAGTCGGAGTCCGAGGCAGGAAGGAGCCTGATGCCCGCACTCGGAGCGGGTCAGGCAAGAGAAGTTGTCCTCTCACTCAGAGGAGGTTCAGCTCTCTTTGCCTAGCCGGGCCTTCGCCTGATTGGACGAGGCCCACCCACACTCAGGAGAACAATCTGCTTCACTCCAGCCGATCCAGATGTTAACCTCTTCCAGAAACACCCTCACAGACACGCCCAGAACACCGTCCAAATATCCGGGCACCCTGTGGCCCGGTCAAATTGCCACACGAAAACCGCCACCCCGATCATAACGGTGGCCTCTTGCCTCCACTAGACCTTTGGGGGTTTTCCTCAGTCAGCTCAGAACAACGAATCCTCATTTGGGGGGGTCTCCTCGAACAGGACGGGTGCCTGCCTGGCCTCCCTCACGTTTGGGTTTAAGAGAATGTCGACCGCTCCCGGGTCACAGCTGCTTTCTCTTTGTTGTGCTTTCTGTGCCTCCCCGAGGTCCGTCTTCCCCTGTGACGGTGCGCTGACCTGCACCCCGTCTCCCGATTTAACCTCTTCTATTTCAGCTAGCCAGCCTCGTGGTCGCTCCCGTCCTCTCAGGTTAGTACTGGTTAGTACTGCCCGCCCAACAGAGACCTAACTCACAGAAGCAGCTACTATTTATTATTCATGAGCACCAGGTAGCGCGTTCTGCATCAATCATGCGACCCTCCCAGGAAGTCCGTGCAACAAGTACTCATCAGCGTCCCTTTTACAGATGGGGAAACTGAGGCTGAGAGTACCCCACTTGCCCGAGGCCACGCATCGGTCAGTTGGAGCCAGAAGTGCCCACACTCTTCGCTACCTGACCAATGTCCCCGGCAGGCTTCACGGGTCACCTGTCCCGTGTGGACAGAGGCGTTTGTGAAGCACGGGCGACCTGGAGTCCGAAGGTCCTACCGCTCCCCGTCTGGCCTCCCCGGGCTCTGGTCACCTCATCCGCAAAACAGGAAAAGTAGTGACAGCTGCTTGACTGGATTACAGGTGGGGACGCCGTTTACGTACACACGGAGCAGGTGTTCTCGGGAGCAGGCGGTGAGGCGCCCGTGCTCGCGGTTTCGTTTGCCTTTATTGCTTCATCGTTACGAGGAAGCAGCTGCTGAACTGCCACAGAGATGCTCCAGAGAAAACGGTGGAAGATGACCCGGTGTCCTTTTCGTAGACGTGCTGCCGAAACGAGCACTTCGGCGTCCTTTCTAACGCGAGAGCCGGGCGATCAGGGAGGAGGCAGAGGAATGGATATGCTCAGCACTTCGGGCATGGACTTCCGTGATTTGGGGGCTATCTGGTCACTTTCCAGAGAAATAGGAGCGAAGGAGTGACTTCTCCAGATGCATTCTCTGGGGGCTCTGACTGACAAAAGCGAGGAGGGCCTCGCGTCGGTGCCCGGCGCACCTGCAGCTCCCGGGTTCACGGCCCCCGGCAGCAGGAAAGATCAAGGCCAGGAGGAGAGAGAGGAGCCACCGGGGGCTCGGCTGGTGGGCACGCTGACGGACAAGGGGCCCGAGGAGGGCGGGGCCGGGCCAGCCCGCGTGAGGAGGGAAGGCGGGGGAAGGCAGCAGCGTGAGAGCGACAGACGCCAGTGAGCGAGACGCGATGGCATCCGGCCGGAGGGCTGAGGCCAAGCTCCCCAGACCTGCCGCAGGGCCGGCGTGCGCCCTGGGCAGGCCGCCTGGCCCGGGGGGGGCTGAGTGCCCTCTCCTGGAGAGCGGGACCACGAGAGCACCTGCCCCAAACGGTTGCGGTGAGCACGAAGATGTACAAGTTGTAAAAACAAAAAAAAAATTTTCTCAGTTTGGCCGTTTCCCATAAAGTTAAACCCACACTTACTGCACCAGCCCGCCGTCCGGCCCCCTGTGTACTCGCCCGAGGGAAATGAAAACCACCGTTCGCACCCCAAACCGGCACGCGGATGGTTTTAGCAGTTTTGATTACAGTCACCAAAAACTGGAAACAACGCAAACAAATATCCCCGATGCGGTAAACTCATAAATGGAAGGAGCAAACGGCACACGGCGGAATCCCACGCGGCCCTGAACGGACCAAACTCCCGGCAGGTGTGACCAGGGGGCCTGAACCCGGGACGCATCCCAGCGAGCGAAAGAGGCCATTTCCACATCCTGGAGGCGGCGCGCCCCGTCTTCGCGATGTCCTCGCAAGGGGCAGTGGACAGGTCGGCGGCTGCCCGAGTTGGCGGGGTGGGGGGAGGGTTCCCCACGGTGCGCACGGGGGAGCTCGTGGCAGGGGTGGAATGGTCTCTCCTGACCGCGAGGGGGGGGTTCCGTGATTGTGTACACTTGCCGAGACTCCCAGACCACGCGCTGAAAGGAATGTACGCTTTTAAGTTGAAGGAGGCCTGCCTTTGGGCGAAGTTCAAGGCCTGCTCCGAGGCGCTGGCCATGGAACGGGCAGGTGGCGCGGGGTCTCCCGGAGCAGCCTGGGAGCGATGCAGGACTGGTGTTCGCAGCGGGCCGGGCGCGTGGAGGGGCTCCTCAAGCAGCAGCTACAGCACCATCGCCTGTGATCACATTTGTCACAGGGCGGGGCTGCAATGATGCCAGTGCACCTGTCACCTTTATTAAAATGACAAACGGCCCTGGGGGTGACAAAAGTCGGTCTCCCTCCTCTTCCGGCTCAAGGACACACACACAACGACAAAGGCTCAGCCAAAGCCCGGTCACGTTGTTCCGACCGCACGGGCCCAGAAAGGCCTCTCCGAAACCCAAGGAGGGACCGGATGGGGCGGGCGCGGGGCCACCAGGCCACTGCGGCTGGCACCCTGTGACGAGGGCCTGTCC